GTCACTGTCTCACCGGCCCCGCTCTCACCGCCGTCACTGTCTCACCGACCCCGCTCTCACCGCCGGCGCTCGTCTCACCGGCCCCGATCACACCGCCGTCGCTGCCTCACTGGCCCCGCTCTCACCGCTGGCGCTCCTCTGACCGGCTCCACTCTCACCGCTGGCACTCATCTCACTTTTGATTTGCCAGTGTCGCTCTGGCCCATGCTTGATCCACCATTGCTGCAGGACTTGATGTACGCGTTCAGCTCAATGGATCCTCCGCAATGTCCACCTTCTTTCTCAACCAATTATTCCCCAGCACTATTGTCAACAGGGCCCTTGGAGCGGGTGTGACCCATCTCCCGCACATCCGCCCTCAACAGGACTCAGCCTCCACCATCACTACAGCCGATTCCCCATTCAGGAGTCACCAGTGACACCACTCCAGCGTCCCCACCACACAGGAAGATGAAAAAAGTAAAAGATGATAAGGAGAGAGTGAAAAACAATGTGGCCAGCCTGGAGTACGGAGAGGGTCAACAGGAACCTAACTGCTATGCCCATGCTGCCATCTTGAAAATGACAAGGACCCAGGGGCACAGCCTCAATGCAGGGACAGCTTTTTAAAGTGAGATGAGGAAAACATTTCTTCAGTAAAAGTGTGGTGAATCTGTGGAACACATTGCCACGAAGGCTGTAGAGCCAAGACATTCAGTGTATTTAGGACAGAAAGGTTCTTGATTAGTAAGGAGATGAAAGCTTATGGAGAGAAGGCAAGAGAATGGATTTGAGAAACATATCAGCCATGATTGAGTGGTGGCACAGACTTGATGGACCAAATGGTTTGATTCTTTTCCTATATCTTATGATGTTGTAATCAGCTGGAGAGCAGGAGATTTTCTAAAACTTTATTGTTTTATGAATTATGCTAGACCCAATCAAAAACTAATCTGGGGGCCTGTCAGCAAACCTAGAGCACTTTTTTTTATTTAGTCTCGGGATGTGGGCATTGCTGACCGGCCAGCATTTTTGCTAATTTCTAGTTGTCCTTGAGAAAGTGGTGGTGAGCTGCCTTCTTGAATCACTGCAATCCATGTGCTGTAAGTTTGCAGCGACTGTTGAAGCTTTTTACTGCATTATTCACTGTAAAATGCAGGTGACAATAAATAAATCATTCATCAATGCCCTTAGGGAGGGTATTCCAGGATTTTGACCCGGTGACACCAAAGGAACAATGATATATTAATGTTAACTAATGAATAACCCCTTGCTGCCAATGTTATTGTCCTATTGTTGATAGCTTGTTTCACTTTACCAGCACTTCCAGGATCAGTTTGTTACAATGAGTATTTCATTTTTTATTGCTCTTATTACATTTTATTAATAAGGAGATTTTGTAAACTCCTTTAGGATTGCCAGCGAATGATATAGTTCCTCTTCAGAAACAGGCTGTCTTTGACTTTAAAGAGACACTCCCAGTCATTGTGGCATTGAGGAACCCCTATCTGGAATCGCAGCATTGGGAAGCCATTGAATACACCATTGGTCGATCAATCAAGGACAAAAACCTCACTCTGGAAAACCTCACCAAACTGAGGGTAAGACCTGCTCCACATGGGCTAATAGATGGAGTGAATTCAGCAGATATGTGTATAACCACGCCTTGTTAATGTTTACTGTGTACTGAGTAGAATTTGAAAGATTGACCCAAACATTGTCATTGCTTCCATTTCCATGTATGAGTGCTCTTTGTAAACTGTGGAGTGAATCCTTGTTAGTTATTTCGGTCTTTTCCTTTTCCTTCCATTTTGCAGCGACTCTGCCTCTGCCCTCTGATATCTCACAGAAGCAGCTAATCTTTAATGTGTGATTCTTGCATGGCACACAAACTCATCCCACAAGCCCACATTTGAATACAGCAATAACAATTTGTATTGTTATAGTGCCTTAAATGTAATAATGGAGCCAGTTTACTGGCTCCATCCCCGCCTCTTCGACCTGTTTGTTTCCTCTCCACCTATCCTCTCCTCTATCCCTCTTCTATCCGCCTCCCACTCTCTCCCTATTTATTTCAAAACCCCCTTCCCCTCCCCCTTTTCTGATGAAGGGTCTAGGCCCGAAACGTCAGCCTCTCTGCTCCTATGATGCTGCTTGGCCTGCTGTGTTCATCCAGCCCTGCACCTTGTTGTCTGGAAAAGTAAAAGGATTAGTTTCAATTTAATAGGAAGAACGGAAATATGCCATATTGTATGGGTCTGAGTGATGTGGGGTGTGGTGAGATATGCGGCAGACTTGGATGAGTTGTCCGACGAGGCCCATCTTGACACAGATCATCTCATTCCATCTTTTACATTTTTCACAAGCAGCATAGCAAGATCCTTGGTAGGCAGCGGAGACGTGCAAATTGACAGAGATTAATACTTGTTAAACACCTTGTCGATGCCACAATTCATCTCATTATAGTCAACCTTCCGCCTTACCACACTCACCACACAAGCTAGGCACTGGGAATTTCAACAGTACCTGGCAGATTCGGCTCGCTGCTTGTTTCCATTCAGCCTCCATGGTGCCTTTGACGAAATCGCAGCCCAGGTTACGATCAGCAGGCACCAGGCACATGCACCAGCTCTCCACAGACATTGGCATTCAGCATCTGCCAACCTATCACAACCATCCTGTGATTTCTATTTCACACCAGCAGTGGGCTCTGGAAGCACAGACTTACATTGTAGGGTACATCAGTAACAACTATTGAAAGGCTGCAACAGGGATACTCTGCCCACAGGCCAGGAACCCAGTTCACAGACTGGACTAGGCTGCCTCGCAACAGATTCTTGCTGCTGTTTTAGTGTTCACTCACTTAGCATCCACCTGCATGCTCACAGCATCCCTGCTTTACCTTACTTTGCCTTGCCTTTCCTTGCCAATTAGTAAAGTCATTAAAAGCAGGCAGCTTGCCTTGCTGTTAAGCAGAGCTCGTTCTAGGGGGTAGACATCTTGCAGAATGCAGAGTGCTACCTCAGCCTCACATTTGCACCATGTAGCTGCAGCTTACACAGCAAACACACAAGCCATGTCCACGTTGAAGTCTATGGAGACAACTATCAGTCAGGGAGTCCTGGTCTCTTCACGGTCAATGAATTGCACCCAGCCAAATCCGTCAAGGGGACTTGCCATAGTCAGGAGTGTGGCCAGGGTTCTTAGTCAGGGACTCCATACCTCTGCAGTCCAGGGAGTGAGTTGCTGCAGCAAGTCCAAGGGCTAGGGTTAATGCAGTCAGTGAGATGTACAGGCAACGATAGGGGTCTGGGCATGTCTTGTCTGGGACTGTCGGGTCATGTTTGTTGAGGGAAGGATGGTGTTGTATGCAATGCTGAGAGAGGCAGACCATGAGCATTGGTGGGAGATGGTTATGCTGGACCAGGCCAAACCCCTTCAAAATATATCAGGGAGAAAGCCTAGACCCTAACTTTTTATTTTATTAAAAGGCAAGTATAAGACACTGTGTTTCAGATTGATTTGAATTGTCCACTACTGGGCTTTAAGCAAAACACACTTTATTCTTATAACACAGTAAAAATACAAGCAAAAAAAAACACATTGTTAATTCAATTTAAATACTTGATAAAATAACAATATATATTAAAATAATAGAGAATTGCTATCTCCAGTCCAGGAGAAAAGAACACCTAAAGAAACAATCTAGCAGCAGTGACAGAACTCAAACTGTTTGCTGCAGCAGAGAAAGAGAGAGCTCTGTCACTCAGCTCCACCAGCCCAGCTCCAAACCCCAACTGAAAGTAAAACTAAAACCCTGGATCTTTGTCAGTCTGAATCCACTTACTCGTGTTTCTTTTATCTAATCAAAAAACACTTGGGGATCTCAAACAAAAACAGAAGTTGTTGGAAAAGCTCAGCAGATCTGGTAGCATTTAAGAAGAGAAATCAGAGTTACTGTTTCGGGCCCGGTGACCCTTCCTCAGAACTGATAGTAGCTAGGAAAATGTCGGTTTTTATGCAGAAGATAAGGTGGGGGGAATGGGGTAAGAAGTAAACAATAGGTGAGGATAGAACCCAAACAGAGAGAAACACAGTTGGCCGGACAAAGGAGTGGATAACAATCTGGCTAGGAGAGTAAATAACTGTTAATGGAGACTGTTAGTGGCTAACAATATGTCGTGTGTAATTGCAGGCTGTGATAACAAGGCGTGGTGTGTCGGATTGGGGGCTAGGACATGGGAGAACTTAGGACCTAAAACTTTTGAACTCGATATTGAGTCCGAAGAACTGCAGGGTCCCCAAGTGGAAAATGAGGCACTGTTCTTCTGTTTAAAAACTGTTTGCCACTGTTTAAAAAGGAAGTAGACAAAAAGCAGGTAACTATAAGCCAGTTAGCTTAACTTAGGTAGTGGGGAAAATGCTTGAATCTATCATTAAGGAAGAAATAGCAAGAAATCTGGATATAAATTGTCCCATTGGGAACACCCAGCATGGGTTCCCCCCGCACTGCCCGCTTCTATCTCCTTCCCAAAATCCACAAACCTGAATGCCCTGATCGACCCATTGTCTCCACCTGCTCCTGCCCCACCGAACTGATCTCCAACTATCTCGACTCCATTTTCTCCCCCTTGGTCCAGGAACTCCCTACCTATGTCCGTGACACCACCCACGCCCTCCACTTCCTCCAGAACTTCCAATTCCCCGGTCCCCAACACCTCATCTTTACCGTGGACGTCCAGTCCCTCTACACCTGCATTCCCCATACAGATGGCCTAAAGGCCCTCCGCTTCTTCCTGTCCCGCAGGCCCGACCAGTCCCCCTCCACTGACACCCTCATCCGCTTAGCCGAACTCGTCCTCACCCTCAACAACTTCTCTTTCAATTCCTCCCACTTCCTACAGACAAAGGGGGTGGCCATGGGTACCCGCATGGGCCCAAGCTACGCCTGCCTCTTTGTAGGTTACGTGGAACAATCCCTCTTCC